TTTCCTTGTTGTTCTTATTCAATATGCAATGTGATGTGATCTTACTACTAAAGTTATTATTTATATGTCTTGCTTCCAATATTCATCATGACCAATTATAGGGGCGACAATGTAAATCGTTAACAATAATAGATATTAAGCACTTACCTAGCATGACCCATATGGGAAGCATCATACACAGTTGGGCCACAACTGTACCAGTTAATTCGGTTTCCATTATTGCAAACGAATACCTCCTTCTGGCGAGTCAGGCTATTGTATACTTTCAAAACTGGGCGGCCATCAGGGTTCGCCGGCGGTGACCACTTAGGCTGTGTTCTTTTGGACATGGTGAATTTCAAATATGTTGTTCAACTGAGAGCTCAAGTTGTACTGTAAATACGATGACGCCACACCGCGCTTTTTATATGCGATACACGAAGTAATAATAATACCATGAATGATAATGGTAAACCAACATTCAGAGAAGCAGATGTATAAATAAATAAGTAGTTATAACGACTACTATCCGTTCATTTTCACATGAAGCGAACCACTCGATAGATTTCAAAAACAATTAGCTATTTATAACATAATTTATAGTACCAGTGGAAGGTATCAACATTAATTTGATATAGTTATTTGATTTGTTAAACAATAAAAACTGGTATAATTTTTAATAGTAGAAAAATACCGAGAAAGGAACTTTACATGTCAAGTTAAAATGAACGGGTTCTAGTAGCTACGTACACTAAAATCCCCGATCACAAACAAAATCATAGACTAAAGGTTAAAAGGCATGGAGACATATCGATATCGACGTGTACATATTTTTTAGTCGACGTAAATATTTTTTGACATTTATTGTCAAAAAAAATCTGAAATCTTAACTTAAAATACCGAAAACTATCCAAAACGATATTTAAAATCATCAGTATCACCACTTTTGAAATAGACAATCATTCACATTTTAATTTAATTTATTGGGTAACATAATTTTTTATTATTACCTTAATTTAATTTAATTTAATAGGTAACATATTTTCTGATTAACGCAACGCAATGTATTATTTGTCTTACATTGCGAAGGAATCCATAGAATCTGTAGTTTAGTATTTATTTAATTATCTTTAAATAATACTGGGATGGATTCTAAAGTATTTTTCTTTATACACAATGTAGATTTTGTTCCAATTAGTTATGATTGAAATATTTTAAGAACTAATAGAACATTTTATCGATAAAATGAGAACAGGCATTAAAATTGTACTTAATTCATAAATGACTTATATTTGTCGGGTCTCTTAGTCTTGATAACGTGGTTGTTCTATTTTTTTCAGATTTAACTACAATAAAATACTACTTGTATTTTATTAATTGAACATTAATTAATGCGGCAAACCTTACTATCGATTTTTTTTTGTAAATACATACATATTATACATAGAAAACACCCAGACCAATACAAACAATCATACTCATGAATATAAATGTTTGTGCCGTGTGAGGAATCGAACCTGCGGCCATCGGTCGTAAAGCGGTGTGCTTGACCGCCAGACCACCGAGTTCGTCAACAATATTGTAACTATATTCTTACAAGACTTCATGCAAAAATAAATGACAATTATAATAATAATATTTCTTTATTGGAACTAAAAAATATAATATTTTACAAAATGTAGTGTAACGATAACAGCCACATTAGTAAATAATACTGTGTCGTAACCGTCAACGCCCACCTCCTTAAGACAGAGGCGTTCCACTCCATCCAAATACATCCGGTATAGGTAAAATAAAATCACTATATGTGTATATATCTATGTATAGTTGTATTTGTGGATTTTTATTAGTAGCTGACTCGTCGATTACAGTGAGTGAGACGGAAATACAAGCGTGTTCTAACTCGTGCCGAAGTTATTAATATTACCATGTCGCTCGCATTTCACTGGCAGTTAGAGCCACAGAACACCAATATCCTAGCGCAACTGTATTGCCCAAATAATGTGTGCTATTGTAAATGCTACTACATTGATACTTGAATGAATTGTACCAACTTTTCACGACTTACAGTATGTTTTTGTATTAAATATGGCTACCTATTTTTAAGAAATATCGACATATTTTGTTTTGAACTTTTGACATCCCTAAGATAGTTGTTTCATTGTTCAAGGTAGAGTCGCAGTGTTACCATATCCTATTTTGGGCCGGCTTATAGCAAAATTACTTGTACTCTATTATGTTCCTAATTTATAGTTTATAACTTATGATAAAGATAATAAATGAACTGCTATTCTATAAAATACAGTGTCCTAAGCCACTTCTAAAGAATCGATAAGAAGTGATTTCTTATCGTTTCTTTCGAAATGGCTTAGGCTTTGTATTGGCATTCCGTAAACATGTGAAGGGACTTTAAAATGAAGGATCGACATCCAGGGACGGATATGGGTAGGTACTACGCGCCATCTTTAGTCAATATAATCGATGTAAATATTTTGTTGCTTTTTTACTGCAATTATACTTTTCTAAATTATAAATTACACTATGAAAGAGTATGAAATTATTTTAGTCAAATTTTTTAAATCAAAATTAATGACATGACCTTTATGTAAATCTGTCAAAAGCAAATAAGTGTTGTTTACCATTTCATAACGTCTGAATGAATCCTTACGTGAACATAGGCTACGTTTTTGAGAACTACATAATATAAGTAGGTATAGCAAATAAATAGAATGAAATACGTAATAATAATACATCATTTATTTATTATTTAATCTAACAACATGAATAATTATCACTGTAAAACTTAAATTAATTATATTATATATATGCATATAGAAATCATAAAAAATATTCAATACAATTACATTTGTAAATGAATTTATTAATAGAACTCGCAGATTTTTATATGAATTAATAGAAATTGTAGTATTAAATAAATATAAAATTGAAACTCGTTTGATTGAAAACCAGAGCATAATAATATAACATATACTTTTGAAAATGATATACACAGGTGAACTCTACTGTTGATGTGGATGTAAACAAAAATAAATATCATATAAAAGTTATATTTCCAACTTTACAGATTAGTTATTATTCATTTCCCAATAATTTTGAATTAGGAGCCCTACATGTGAATAATTATAATTCAATGTAATTACATTAAAATAATGTATTTCACAGTTTCACAACTGAAGTATACACCAATTTGATCAGAATTAGAAACAATATTATGATTTTTAACACATCCATAGCATATTATTCTCAAAACATAATTATTCTAGACATTCTATTTCTATAATATTATTATATTCTTGACATAAATATTTGAAAGACCAAGAAGAAAAAGTTTTTAGTTAGTATATATTACCATATCTATTTACTACTTGAAATGATTTATTCATTATTACATAACTCTAATAATATGATTAATATGATTTTATATAAGTATAGTTATCAAATGTATATTGTTATTATATATGTTGAAAGATTAAATACCGACCATATTCTATCACGTTTAATAGAAGAAAAATGATTTACAACTATTTATTAATATTTATGTTTAGCTACCACTTATTTATTATTAAAATTGACTAAATATTTTTAAAACAATTGAAGACAACATATCTTTCATTAAATCACAAATCTGTATATTACTGAATATATTGAATATAATATATGTATGTCAGTATAAGTATATAAAATATCATAGCAACTGTTTGTAATATAAAGATTTTATATTAAAATGTTTGGCGATAAGCGCGCTAAAAGCACTTATAGATATATATATTATAAGTAAAGCCTGACAATCACATTGCATCCAAATGGATGATCAGCCATATAGACCATACATTTCCGTTGTACTTCTTATAATCCCAATGACAAAATATATTTCTTTCATGACTATAACAAGTCATAATAAATAGCTGCTATCAATTCATTAGCTAGTTTTGAACAGATGTCTAAGCATGCGTTAATATCTAAAAATTAAATGGCCGCATACTAACGTCCGATTTATGTTGGTCTACATTGGCATTATATTATAAACAAAATAAGGGTACCATTAAAAAATTAGGAACTTAGAAGACAATTAATAATTTCAGAGTTTCATTCATTAGTTACTATCATCTATCCTGCTGATTAATAATTTGTAACTGACTTCACATAAGAAGTGTTTTTATATTTAACTATGTATTCAGTTGAGTTGTAACACTCAGACAAAAAATTATATTTTAAAAAGACATCATAATCTATAACATGGAATACTATATAGGTTTAAATTACTAGACATGATCATTAACAATAGCAGCTCTATATATATGATGTCAGTATCATTTATATACTAATAGATTCCTAATATCAATCAGAACCAGGAGATTTTAAAAGCTTAAATATTTGTTAACATTACTTTGTATATTACTTACTAGATACACAATTTACCAGTTTGTATAACATGAGTATACATAACAATATATTATATATTTTAGTTAAATTACTACATCTTCATTCAAAACTTTTAACTGATGAAAAGTATTTAATTAACCAATTATTTCTTTAGATGATCATGTACTGGTGGTATTGTTTACGCCAATCCTGTGTTCCGGCTGATGGGGCTCCAGAAAAAGATGACTTAATAAGATTTATCAGGTCATTTACCAAGCTGATAATTGGAAATGCAACAGTAATTAACCACAAAGACAATAGCCAAAGTGTTAGTTGCAATAGAATTTGTAGTACTTTAAACCAGTTAAAAGTTTGAATTACTTTGCACAGATACTTTAGACATCGAATACTATACTGTTTCATTCTTATTTGTAGAACATCTATATAATTTGAACATTCATAATCTCTATAAAGCGCATTACGAAATGTTACATACATTTCTTTTACAGGCGAATTGGTAATACACGTTTTAATACAAAAACAGTTTAAATACTGCAGTACCACAATAATTAATTTGTTGAAAAAATAAAGAAACTGCTGGCAACTGATTTTTCCGAATGAGTTCCGAGAGACTTTTACTTTAACAATTTTGATTAAACCATAAGCTGCACGCTTAATAATAATCTGAATTAACCGATGAACCGCAAATTTTGGGAAATGGACTTTACAGTTTTAACCTTAGAATCAATCTCCAAAAATTTGTAACTCTCGAGTTAATACTGGTTATTATTAAGCGTACATAATGATTGTCCAGTAGTAACTGAATATAGTGGTACCAGAAGGAAGTTAGCTAGTTGAGCATAGTGTGCCTATCGTATATATTGCGTCGCTGCTCTCGAACCTGACGCTTCCACTTGTCCTGCTGATGAGTGACGCGGTTTAACACATTCCCGCGGGCTCCCATGGGCTGCGAAGGACCCGGCAGCGTGCCTTCATCCTGTATCATATTTTAAACATAAAAATGTTTGCACTGATGTATAACAGCTCATAGTAAAAAAGTATGGTAAGTTATAATAAAAAACACTATTTTAAGTTTCACTTACATCTTCGTTAGTATGTTCCTGATAGGATGCCTTAGCTCTCTTGTTGATGAGTGGATCAAGGCAAATCAGGAATCCCATGTATACTACCAGAAGCATTATCACCCATATCACTATAATCACCACAACCTAAAATATTTATGAATATTCATTATTAATTTTATTCATATTATAACTCTGGGTCATACCTATATATAGTTAAATACTTGAATATAATTGACTAGAGGGATCAATACAAATATATTGTTCTATGTTTATACTTATTTATTGTACATACAATAGAGAAATTACTAACAGGATATTGGACCCAAACCATAGAAAGAAAACATAAATAGTTGACTTCTTAAAGCAACTATTACTGTTAACTGACATGAAAGTAAAACAAATCACCTGATGTTGTTAGATATGTTGTCCAGGCACGATGGAGGATGGTTAGATTTCAGTTATCAAGGGACATATGAAGTGAAACAATTGTATAACTCGTAAAATTATGAATCCTGGCATGTATTCGAATATGTAGACTTTAACATAAAAAAGTGTGTAGTTACATAACAGTATTCATGTATATTTTTTTATATTCATTACGATTTCTTACCTTGATTATTGTAGTATTTCTATTTTCATATTTGCACTCGCATCTTGGACAGAATTCCTGTTCACGACCTTTGATATCCGCTCCGACACGCGGCAAAATCACCCCATCGCAATTGCTTGCAAAAATTAAAAATAATATTACTCCTGGCATAATAGTTAATCATTGCGAAATCAAATATCTTGTACATAAATAAAAGAAATAAATACACTCCTATGCTAGTAGGGTTATTGAGCATTGTATAATTATTGTACAATTATGTACACCCCAAAAAATATATGGAATATTTAAAACGTACAAATACTGTGAGTCTATCTCATATTCATAAATTTTCCACAACTGTTTTAAGACTATTACCCTAATTTGATGAAGAAACAATATGGTAATTAAATGACCTTTATTAAAAATTTATGAGAGAAATAAAAATATTTTGTAATAAAAAAAAGTTACCATTTATTTGGTGGTACATTTGCAATGTACAGTCGACGATCAGATCCTGCTGTATTATTCAGAACGGCAGCTGGACTCGGGCATACACACTTACATCTTTTGTCTTCATATGACTGGCCCTGTGGTCAACATAAACATACATTATTATAATGTGCAATATTCTATGGAGTATTACTATATTTTTTAAATAAAACCTCTTTAAAAATAAACTCATATCAGGGCCCTTTCATAATACATATATAATTATAAATGTTATGGTAGTTGCCAGACCAGAAACAAAGTGGTGTGCTAAACCGCTAGACCAGTAATGCCGTCATATTCTATGGGTGGGTTGATTGATGTTGATGAGACATGATAATTGTTAACTATAATTATTAATTCTTACAGTTTCAAAAACTCCAGTGAGTACTAAAATTATATGATTTTTTTAATTATTATTTGAATTAGGATGGAATGTCACACACAACTCATAACAAATTTATTAATAGTTAATAAAATGTTATGATGGTGTGAGTTTCAACAACTTTCTCTCTGTATACTAACAGTATAAAGAGAGGACAAAGACAGCACTGAGTTGTAAATCATTTCACTGTTAATTTACCATCAGTAAATTATTCCCATGACATGGGCTATAAACAATTTTAATATAACAATTTTGGTCACACACAACTACACTGGTGATTGACCACTCTTAAGAAATACAACAAAATTGATAGCAAAATATATGGAATGCACTGCAGTATGTAATAATATATATATATATAAAGACCTGTTGAACATTATGTTACATTAACTTTCCTTTATATCACTCTCCCTATAACATTCTAAAGACTGACAAATGTTGTAATAAACACTCTCAAATAAGGCTTTAGTAGAAATAACAATATTCATTCACCTTCTATACAGAAGTCACACATTTTATAGATACATAAAATGTGTAGATAATGATGTAAATGAGATAAACATGAAAATACTACATTTGTGTACTCTGATTGTATAGATATGTGTTATTCAAATTCAAAAAGCATTTATTCATGTAGGACATTGTTCCCCAAATGAATATATTGAACGAATATAATTTCCTACAATTATTGTTATTTAAGAACTGAAATCACCGTACAACTAATAGTAGTTGTACGGTGTAATAAATAATATAAATAGTTATATTATTTATTAAGTAAATTATATATATTGTATTATTTATAAAGCTAAAATGAATATATTGGATCTCTAAGACTATAATAGTTATGGCTATTACAAGACAGTTTCACTACAACATCATCAGTTAATGATAAAAGATTGTAATTTGCACAAATCTAAACAATATGGATCGATAAAATGAGATGTCTATTCTCTTGTTACAATGTATTTGTAACAGATATCTGACATTGATTAAATTAGGCTCCATTTTACTTACCGATACGATAATTACAGCTGATAAAAATATCAGACTCTCTTTCAAATACATTTTTTAATGTGCAGAAAAACAGAAAAATTTAATTGTCGCCACTTTTATAGAAATACTAATATATTAATTGTAGAATAGGAAAAAGACTACTTCTCTATGACGTCGTAAATTTTCACTCGAAATAATAAAACAGTAAATAAATAGGTAATCGCGTAGGGTAATGAAATATAAGCCAACAGGTATCTAAGAAATACGAACAAGTGTTATTAATTTTAATTGCTCTTAAAACAGAATAGGTATAGCGTATGAACGACCACTGACGATTAATATCAATAAAAGCGGATGATGAAACTGACAATACTTTTTACTTTTGACTGACACTACAAAATACTGACAGACTCAGTATTATATATGACTCTCAAAACCACAGAACACCAATATAAACTCAAAACAAAAGCATTAAAGGCATCTCAATATTTATACCTAGTTCGTGAATATAGGGATCACCTATTTAGTTTTTGTGGTATCCTCCATAAATAACCGCCACACGTTAAAAGCCCTAAAGCGATTTATTGGATCCCATTGCCCTACAATTGGTTGTAATGATAATCTTCCTAGTGTTCTTCTATAAAATAAATTGTAAAAAGTTTATAACTACTAAGTAAAGGCAATATTATTCTCACAGTCGTAGATTGCAAAAGACATATAATATACATTATCAGTACCTACTCATATTCCTTTTCTTTGTAGAGCAATTCATATTCTTTATAAAAATTATTTAAATGTATGACAATTAGAAATTAAGAACATATTATACCCTGCCATAATTGACTGCCTAAATCAATGTTGGAACCCTATAGAGATGCCCTAAGACTAGTGTTATTTGTCACCCACGCGTTGATCTCAGACGCTTCGTAAGTCGTTCAACTTGTTAACCGTGCCCTCTGCACTCGCCATCGTTTTCGTCTGGTGAAGCTGTAAAAGATAAGCTTCGGGCAAAAGCATTAAAATCTTCTCTTAGCTCTCCAACTATATGCCGGGTCGATTCTCTTAATTTTTCGGCGCCAGGACAATCTGTCCTGGGTTATCGGGTCTGGCAATTTTTCCGCACCGACAAGTATTGCTCATAAAGGCTTTTTTACCATATAATCCTCGTCACACCGCAATACATAGTCATACCATGTGAGACATCTATCAATAATTTTGTCCGTTATTGGGGCCGCTTTGAAACTACCGCGGATGTATATATTTCACACCATATGACTCTCGTGACTCCACCAGACCACCGCAGCATTTTCATCTGTGGTATGAAACGTTTGCACAAGTGACCCCTTTAATGGCCAACATTCTGCTCTGTACAACAATAAAATCGGAATTAAAAAATAAAAACAAATTTTATAATTCGAAAGAGTTTTATTAAAATTATTGTATTCATATTATATTGCATCTAACATTACAAGTGTAGCAAAATATTCTAGAGTACCAATAACATAAAAAATAGTTAACGTAGCAATGCAACAGTAACAACAGCTTTTAGAATTATGTTCTAGTACAAATATACAATAAAACATATTCAAATATACTGGAATTTCCTTTTTGTTTCATTTGTTTAAACTTGTTTGGTCTAATCATGGTTCAGAAAGAAAATCCGGCCATGCCGGCCTGGTTTCTTGCTGTCCCTACATTAAACTTAGAAATCGGATCGATATATGATGACATAAGTTTAATCATACTGTATCGCACTCTGCAGTGTTTCTATCACAACACATTCCTCCTTTGTAGTTTCTGTACTTCTGTCTGGACCACGGTCAATGTGGTCGGTCTAGGTGCAAGCCCAGAAACTTCTTGTATTAGAAAATTAGACAGCGGACCCAAATGATAGAACCTTGCCCGCATGCCATATATACTATGATGCTTATTCCCCACTCGTTGGGGGTATATTTAGTATGTTATATAGATACCCTGACATATTAAGGAACATTAAGAGCCGGGCTTGCTGTCAAATCGGTGGATAGTGGCAAGTGGCGCAAGTACGATCGATAGATATAATATTTTTCGGTCACTGAACTCACGCTCTAAGAGTCCTTAATTCTTAGATTTTTTTTCTAAAAACTGCAATCTATATGTGTGCTGCCAGACAGTGACTAGATAGTTTTATCCTCGGACATTCTTCTTTTATTGTATACTTATACAATTTAATAATATTTATATTGTCTAATTTCATTGTGTCATACACACAATAGTGATATAAATATAAATATGGGAAGAGACTGTTAATTCCTAAAGACTATGCACCAAAATTTAATATTTAAAAAATAGAAGATTCTTTTTTAATATGCAGATTATGTAAGTCACGTCAGATAAATTAACTACGAAGAATAATTACTCTATTGTCCTTATCAAATTACATTGGTAATTAGAAATTAATTTGAAATTAAATTTAATAATGAAATATAAAGTTTATTAAATTATACAAAACTTCTTACACAGTCAGATATTATGTAATAACTTTATCCAACATTTTAAATAAAATATAGTACATGTTCCTGTATTGTAATATATTTGTAAGATGAGAATAGACTAGTATTATGAATTTGTTGAGTATTATTAATAAAAACAAAATTATTTATATTTAGTATACTGTTCTTTTATTAGGATTATTAAGTACATTTAAAAAAGTTAAAGTAAATAGCATACTATTGAATAACATATTAAAGGTCGGATTTCATAGATCAAGGGATGACAGATGATGGCACTTATTGTTGAATTTAATAATATTTTATGTAAACCAAATGTTTAACTTAACATTTGGTTTAAAGTATATTAAAAATCAAAGAAAAATATTTCATATTTGCAACTCCATCTATGAACATCCGAAATATGAGCTACTTTCTAGAATATAATTTGGCACCATATCTGCTATAATAAAATTCCGCAATCTCATCACAAAACGATATCGTCCATAAGGATCATTCAGATCCCTTCTCAATATACAATATTTAACAATTTTATATAAAGAATAAAGTTACTAAGTAGCTGCATTATAGAAATTGCATAATCCTAGTTTCTATCAAGCATGTCATATAAAAATACGCAAGCACAGCCATTATAGCCAGTACCCAAGTTTTATATTTTATGAGCATGTAGGTTTGATTTACTTAAATGTTATACTTTTACCCTGATTTTTTTTAAATTTACACTTACCTGTATAAATTATGCAATAAAACTTGGATTCTGCATAAGTACATATACAAAAATATTTAATTCTGTAATAAAAAAAATAAAGCCAATTTGTTTTATACTAAGAAAAATTTAATGTATTCTTTTAAATATATATAATCCTCTTCAAAATAGTCCCGATATTATAGTCCTAGTATATAGTACCAGAGATCTTTGCAGACCTTGAAACTCGATGGTTGGAATGGCTTATCATTCTTTCCTCGATTTTTCTTTTATTTTAAAATGTTGTCCACAAATTACGATGTTGCATGAGCAACAATAATGAATTGTTTGATGTTTACAATGTGTAATTTTATCGAGCAAAGAAGTTGTATTCAATTTTGTTTGTGGAATATAATTTCAACATTTAGAATGTCTCAGAAGGCCTTCGGCGATCAAATTTCGCCTGAGTGAAAAGTGGAAGAAAAGTGAAACAAATATGTATGACAGTGCTGTCAAATTAAAAATATGAACCGATTAACCTCAATACTCTGCACCCGCACAAATGAAATTAAAAATTGGTTTTACTTTTTGATCAACATGCTATATTAAACATACATAAGTTCATTGGAAATAGTAACTTACATTTCAATATCATTATTTATAGACAATAGATAATTATTTTTAAATAATACCCGTTAATGTAGGCGTAGCCTGACTTGCGTCAACAAAGCATTCAAAGAATTAATAGACAAAAAAGACATCTGAATACTACCACAAATTACATAATAGGACAAAATATGACAGCCAATGTGATGATAAAACTAATAAAATTGAAACACGAAATGCATAAGAAATTGTACCTAAAATTATACTGGCAGAAAACATGAAAGCTATAAGCACACAAAGAGATAACAAAAGTGAGCACTCGGCTCTGACAAAATAACAAATGAATTACTATGGAAACGTTAAATACAACAGCACCTAAATTAATGGTAACTTTCAATGACATTCTTGAATATGAAAACGTACCCACAGATAGTACTTACAACCATACTACTAAAATTATAAGTGATATAAAAAAATTAAGAATTACAGGCCCATAAGTATAATGCCAAATATATATAAAGTATTTTCAAAGAATAATAGCTAGAATTAGATATACTTTAGAAGAAATCAACAAAATTAGCAGACAGGGTATAGAAGTAGTTTCCCGAGCCTAGACTATGTCCATGTAACAAGTAATACAGAATAGAATGAGTACCACAAAAAGTACTATATCCCATTTGTAGATTACAGTAACGCTTTCAACACGCTTGAACATGAAGCTATTTGGACGGTATAAAATTGCAAGGAAACCATAATAATATCCGATCTTAAAAAACATATTTTTTTTTTTTTTTTTGGTAGGTAGGTATCTGCAATCAGTACTGGTACTATAAGCAGGTGAGTTGTTGGTAGTGGGCGTGGGAGGATCTCTATCCTTTGACAAGGTCCCCATGTTTCAGCTAGCTAGAAATCTTTCATCCAGCTCAAGGATATTTGATCTTTTTAATCTTTTTGCTGGGTTGTTAGCTAGAAGTTTCTGAGCTAATTCATTTGGGTGAATAGCAAGGCGGGCCTTATTATTGATACTTGATTTCCCAATTTCTTCCCTGACTGTGGCGATGCTGGCAAAGTGGTGAACCTCAGAGTTGGTGATGAACCATGGAGCTTTTAAGATGCACTTTAGGATGCAGTTTTGACATCTTTGGAGAATTTCGATATTCGAGTGACAGGCGCTTCCCCATAACTGAATGCCGTATGTCCAGATTGGTTTGAGTGCAACCTTGTATATAAGAAGTTTGTTCTCCATGGCCAGAGATGATCTCCTGCCAAGTAGGAACTCCAGATTTCTGAATTTTATATTTGTTTCATCTCGTTTTGCCTTTATGTTTCTTCCAGGTGAGTCGACGATCTAGGTGAAGTCCAAGATACTTGACAGAGTCAACGTGTTGGAGGGGTTCGTGGCCCAGGGTGACAGCTGGACAGTTGCCTTGCCGCAGAGAGAAAGTTATCTGTAGTGACTTTGAGACACTAGGCTTGATTCTCCATGCTTTAAGCCAACTGTCAATCTTGTCTAGGTGATTTTGTAGTATAGCGGAGGCGGCTTCTGGTTTGGTGTGACTGGCCAATATAGCGGTGTCGTCCGCGTAAGTGGCTGTGGTAACTTGACAATTTGTTGGCAGATCGGCGGTAAACAGTGTGTAAAGGTAAGGACCCAGTACTGATCCTTGGGGAACTCCTGCTGTTATGTCATAAAAGGTAGATCTAGCCTCTTCTTCTTTGACTTGGAAAATCCTGTCAGTAAGATAGGATTGGAGTATTCCGAAGAATGCATGTGGAAGTAGGGTTTTTATTTTGCAGAGAAGTCCCTTATGCCACACTCTGTCAAACGCTTGCTGAATATCAAGGAACGCAGATGCACAATATTCTTTATGCTCCAGTGATGAGCGGATTTTATCGCAGACTCTATGTACCTGTTCTATGGTGGAGTGGCGCTGCCTGAAGCCAAACTGATAGTCTGGAATGGTCTTAAGGTCATCTAAGACAGGGATTAGTCTGCTCAGAAAAACCCTCTCCCAAACCTTCGACAGAACCGGAAGAAGACTTATTGGACGATATGATGGCGCAATATTAGCTGGTTTCCCTTGCTTGTGGATCATAACTATTTGAGAGACTTTCCAGTGATTAGGAAAGTAGGATATTCTGAGAGTGGCATTTATTAGAATCGTTAGAAAAACAATCACTTTTCTAGGAAGTTCTTTAAGAATTCGTGAAGTAATGAGGTCGTAGCCAGGGGCAGATTTATCTTTGAGCTTTGATATTACTCGTCGAATTTCTCTAGGTGTAGCAAGTTTCAGAGAGGAGTCTTGCTGAAGAGGTTGGCTCATTATTTGATCTATTACCGATTCATCAGATCGAGGAACTGCATCGTTAGGTGTAAACACTAAAAAACATATAGTCCAAAATTAGTACAGAAATTACTTTCATAGAAAAAGTAAAGACCATATTGTTTAAATATAAATGGGAGAAAATGTCAACTACCTACAATTAGCAGATGATTTGGCTTTACGTTCCGAAAACAGAAGTCAAGCTGCAATAATAGTCAGACGGGTAAGTACCGCCTTAAAATCGGTCTCATTATAAATCCTAAGAAAACAAAAGTGATGACTGATACAGAAAAAGTACCGCTAGAATACGTATGCATATAGAAAGAAATAGAAAGACGAGTCACTCATAGAAAAATAAAGAAATACCACAGAAAAAAAGTTAAGTTTTCATCATACATCTCCTGCGCTTTTAATACATGGGTGTCAAATTTGGAGTACCACAAAAAACATATACACAAGCTAAAAGTATGTCCGAACTCAACAGAATGAAGTCTTATTGGAGTTAAAGTAAGAGAAAGAATAAATCTAACAACAATAAAGAAAAGGTGGGAAGATTATATTAGAAAGGTAGCAGGAAAATATTGGACACAAAGGACAGGATTTTGTTATTCATATGTAACATCAGAAGAAACTGTTAACATTCGGAAGACATAAATCAATGAATTTAATATATACTTAAAAGGTAAATACAGTGATTTCAAAATATCATATATTTATAAATATATGGAAATTCATATTTTAAAAATTATAAACTTAAAATTGGTCCATTGTCAAAATAATAATAACAGCCTTTGTTATTATCATTTTGCCATTAGAGTTTATAGAATAGAATTTGCAATGTCCCATTATTGTTCAGAGGTGTGAATATTATATTTGACTTGTTTTCATTCGTAGCTAATATATGTATGTTCATATACATAAATATATAGGAGATACAGTCCGTATATACGATATTTTATCCATGCTACTTAGAAATATAACAATACATACTTATTATAATTATACAGTCTTATTCTTAATGCATGCATTTGAATACATTATTAACTCTTCCTAACTTTATAACAAAATATACGATACTCCCAGATTGAATAATCAAGATCTCGTAGTGTAGAAGCAACATTCCACTTTGCAATCTCATGATCGTAAATTTAATTAGCAATAGATCACCTATATATTCCTAGTATTTTTTCAGTCTTCTGCGTCATCCCCGTGAACCAATAAGTTGCATGCCTGAAAATGAATTAATATAATATGAAAATATTAAATAATTTCCATATAAAATATAAATTAATGCAGGTACAGATAAAAGATTGCAAGAACTCCAATCAACAAGAGCTCTTGACTTCTGAATGAATGAGCAGATACTAGGAAAGTCTTGGACTATGACCTAAAAGGTAGCCTATTTTTAGGAGCAATAATACAAGAAACAATATATATGAATGTATTATGAATTTATTATGTGACTAAATGCGTAATATGGAATTATCATTGTAGAATAAACAAGTATGGTACTTGTTTATTTTACAATGAGATATCAGTATCTTTTGGAGCCATAGCAATCAAATCATAACTAGAGTGGAAATAAACCTGTATATTGAATAAAGTGGTTTCTAATAAAAAGACTATACTATTCAACTACTACACTATGCTCACTATTTAACAATAGAATCATGGTCTATTGTCAAAAAGTCAATGTGCACAGATCATATAAATAAAAAATTAGACTGTACATAAACATTATACTAGTTAAACCATAGCTAATTTAGTATTGAATTCAAATCCACCCAAAACTTTAGTCTGATATGGTAATTAATATCTGTGGTAAATATTGAATACCAATCAATTAAAATTATTTTAACAATAAAAACTACAGTACTTTTTACTACTGTAAAAATGATGTAATACATAAATAGAGAACGCTACTATTATATAACATTAATTGAATCAAAGTCTACCTCACCTCGTCAGAAAGGATTTGCTCTCTATGGTATTTGGCCTTCTTTTTCTTGATAAGTGGGTCAAGGCACATTAAAAATCCCATGTAGACTGACAGAAGCATCAGTAACCATAGTACCATTATCACCACCACCTGTTATGTATACACATAAATGTTATTTAATATTTTATTATTAATTCAATAAATAACAACAAAAACATAAATATATATATGATTATACAATATGTATCTTGTTTATCTTGTAAATTGTATACATGCAATTTTACTATACAAGAATTTTCTCTTTTTGTTTGGGACTGAAAAATATACTCTCTATATGTATACCTATAAATATATGTCCATATAACTAAAGTCTTCATGAATATCTAATAAGTTTTTATAAAGATGAATGGATTGTTAGTAATGGGGACTGGAAACAGAAATTACCCAATTGTAATAGTAGGTTAAGCTCCATACGATCATTTTAGAAGCCATCATGGTTAATTCCTACTTAATTACCATGATTGGCTTTCTGACCTCAATTCATGCTCATCGTATTGTCCTCCACTGGTCAACATAACAGTCATGTTTATTATGTCTTCACAGTCATAAAAAAAATGCAATGTTTCCTTAGGGTTGCACCTACCATGATCACTGTAGTATTCCTAGTTTCATATTTGCATTCACATCGCGGACAGAACTCTTGTTCATGACCTTTGACCTCATCCCCGACTCTTGGCAGAATAACACCATCACAGTTGCTATAAATCAAAAACATATCATTATAATCCATCAAATGTTAATTATTCTATTATCCAAACTATTCTCGCTTATAAATGATGGTAAAAATGAAAACATTATTATCTTCAGACTTGAGAACAATAGTATGTCAGATTATTCATAATAAGTTATTATTAAGAATATACTATTATGGGTACTAGACAACTGATACTGCTTAATTTTTTCTGTACAAATCATCCATATATATATAATCATCCTCATAAATCCAAATGTATGCACGAAACATGGAATAAAACCTTTTGTGCGTTCCATGCATTGAAAGGAATGGCCTTGATTGATGAAATTTGAGGTTAACATAGATTGTATTATGAGGATAGACATAGGCTATGTTTAATCACAAAACTATATTATGTATAACAGTTAGTTATGTATTTTAACAAAGATAGTGTAGTTCTTTAATAAAATAAGTACTTTACAATAACTCTAAACATACACATTTCATATCTTTGTTCTTATTATTAGAATTATTGAGGCTACTTTTACTGACACATATGTTACAATCTTATTATTAATACTAGTTGTACTAGTGACTTCGTCCGCATGGAATTTAACTTTCTTTTCCTAAAATAAAATAATTTTTCTAAAATAAAAGTAGCCTAAGTTATTCCTTATTACATCAGCTACCTGCCAAAAAACAATCCCGTCAAAACCAGTCCAGCCATTTCAGAGATTAGTCGGAACAAACAGACAAAAATAATAAAAATGTAATTTTGGTGTATCCATTTATATTAATATGTATGTAGTAAAAAACTGTTATTACAATATTACAAACAGAAACTCAAATTTTATTTCTATGTACAGATGTATACAGATAAATGCAAAAGTTTCTGTGTATGGATGGACTTTTGTTACTGTTTCACTAAAAATCTACTCAATGGATTTTAATGAAACTTTACAGTAACATAGCTTATACATCAGAATAACTATAAATATCAAGCAAGTGAAACCACGGGCACAGGTAGTGTACAATAAATACCCAATCAATTAATACTTTACCTATTATTTCAAAAGAAATTCTGAGGCGACTTCCCTGACAAAAGGTATATAACAAACATGATTACCATTTACTTGGATGGACATTAGCAATGAAGAGTTTTCTATCCGTGCTCAATGTACTGTTGAGGACTGCTGCTGGACTGGGGCACACACACCGACATCGCCGGTCCTCATATGATTGACTCTACAAAACATTACATGATACTGTACACTATAGTCACACATATATTGTTATAAAAATGATTAATTTCTGTATAGAACATAACTACTAATTAATAATAAAAAAAATAATTACATACCAAAACATACGTGAAATGGAGAAACAAAATAAAAACTTTCATCATCCTAAATGATTACTAAGTATTTCTTCTAAAATGCTTTTAGAAATGAAACTCAGTTTACCACCAATTTTATGACAGTATTTATTTATACAAACCAAAATAAACTAAAATGGCAATTATTAATTAATATAAATAAAAAACACTAATTTGCCTGGTATACGGAACACAATAAGGAATTGTATATTTGTGGTATGGTTTTAATAAGAGTATTATGTTTACGATGTGTATGTGAATTTATATTCTCGATGGTAATAAACCGAAAGACCAATAGATTGAATATTCGATTGACAGTGACGAACTGAAAATAGTGACTGACTTGAGCAGAATTATATATTTTTTAATAATTCTTTATTTATGACCATGGAATACAGCGGATAAAAATTTAATAATAATGGATTAATACTGAAGTTGTAATGTATAAACTTATGTAATAGTTTATTTCTAAGTTTGTTAAATTTTCATGTTATTTGTACAAAAATGTTTATGTATTAGTATTATGTATATTACTAATCTGGAAAACAACGGTTGGTCTAATGTGTACTAGGGGCTTTAATCATAGACATCGTATTTATAAACTGTATTTACTATTTGCGATATAACTAAAAATAAAAGCTTAGTCTATGCTTCACTGCTGCTGACGGATCATGTTTTGAAGTGGGCAAAAATTGAATGTGTTATTTTTGTGATGAGTGTTCGTGTACTTTTTAAGGTAATTAGACAAAAAATATAATTTGGTCTACCTTCATAAGAGCTACTAAATATTGTATTTAACAAAGGAGTACTATTCTTATCCTTCACCCATTGACGACTGCTTAGGTGGCATTTTAAGGACGTCACGATTTTAGAAATATATAATTATTTAGTTTTGTTGGGGAGGTAAGTAGGTAAAATTGCTTTAAAATGGAAAATCGATATTTGATTGTATACTCAAAAAAATATATATTACTGAAAAGTCATCAAATGTGACACAAAAACGGTTCACACCTACAGTGATACATCGAAATTGATTACTTACAAGTAGTCGCTTCAACAAATATAAATAATATTAATAAAGGACAAATATTATTAGAGCATTTGATTTATTGATTCAATTTCGTAATAATTTAATCAATACGTCAACTAATTTACAAATGTTATAACTGTATCACTACAGTATGTAGTTATACAGGTAGTTTTTAGTTTCATAAATATTTAAATTATTTGCTCTAGATTTTTTTATGTCTCTTTAGTATACATATGAGAATGAGAAATCTTTATTGTATAATTATAAGATTTGTTATATTACCTAATAGTTATCTGCATTTAGTTCTATTTCATCTATTTCTCTACCTTTGTTGTACATATGTTGATCATAACTTATAAAATAGATAGCAATAGATATTCAAGATTAGTATTCAACAATGATAAATTCTAATTTTTAATTATTAATGAAACATTCATTTGTCAAGAATAGCTGATAATCTTTCTATCTAATCAAATTATTTTTGTTTCTTGTGCATTTGTTTTGTTTAATATGTTTACTTACACAATTAGATTAGACAAAGACATTTTATATTGAGCCTAGTCATTGTATTGTATATATTACTATATACTACTGTATATAAAAGAATGGTAACACTTCTATTGAATTTTATTAAATGTTAAAATAGTACTTGGTACATTATTTTTGTGAAACAATTTACCTAGTATTATTGTACCATAAAATTATATTTGTTGAAATTTTTAATTTTTACCTCAAGGGATATGAAAATGACAATGCTCCTTATGGGTTTTATAATCAATTTCAAAGTTCAAATGTTTTTATATTCTAAATTTGTATTTTAAATAGTTCCATTATTGTACTTCACTAACACAATACTGACTTCTTGATAGTCATTCATGTAAATCTCTATATTCTTAGCATTTTCTTGTAATTTCTATTTACCTATATACATATAAAAATAATTATCTTAACAAGAGTATATTATATTATGTTTATAATATTTTTATTTATTTATTTAGCTTTGGTAAACTTGGACTTTTGAATGTTGATTGAATGAAATTGATGTATTTTTTTGATATTGCACATTGACTGGACCCAATTCTATTCTATACATTTCTTACACATATTCTTAATTATAATAATATAGGCATATATGCATATGTGATCAGATAATAATTTGATTTAATATAAAATAATTTTGTCCCATATACTTATTCATTGATTAACATTATTCAACTGAAAATAAGATTCTATGTGTTCATTTTTAGAACAGGTCCACTACAAGGTTTATCTAGAGCCAATATAGGTGGTTATTGTAAACTAGATATGTCCGTACCTTGCTCACATTGATTATAATTACAAAAGTATCATACATGTAATTCTTAATTCCTTTAATGTGTTTGAAGAGTTCTATAAAAAAATATCATTAATTACTAATATAGTTTTTAATGATAGAACGAGTATCATTATAACAGAATATGCAAGTCATGTGTTATAAAAAAATTAGATCTAGCTCAAACTAAAATAAAAGGATTTTTAGCAAATCTGGACTGTGATTAATGCGTGAAATTGCATCAGACTGAGTGTTAATTTCATAAAACCTCATTAGTAGTTTATATGTGTATATATATATTATAAAATCAGTACATTGTATATTAAACATTGCATGATATTATTTAGTAATTTCATTATAGTTGGTCATGCATCTAACACTTCAATGTCTAAAGGTATCCTCTGAATCACAGGACACAGACTTGCATGTCTAATATGTGGTTAACCACAATATCATAAATATAAAAGTGTTTTAATGGCTAATTAAGATTATTAATATTATTATTATTAGTATATTCAGAAGAAAGAATTAGGTTATGTTAAGCATAGGAACCATATAATATAAGATGAACACTATAGTTTGTACTCAGTCTCATTTCTATTTTGGTTTTTATCTGTGATGAACACAAACTGAAATGGCCAACCAATCTTCACATACAATCAAAATAGCTTCCTGATATCTGGATAGGCTTTCTAGAAAGATCTACTCTGAATTGGATGACATGCATAAATTATTAAATAGATAACATTATATTGTGTATAAATTCTATATATTGTGTATAAATTGTGTATTATAAGTATGGAGAAAATTAAAAATAAAATGTTCAATACTGACAAAAAATTACACCTTCAAGTACAATGTATAACAATACATCGGCTACAGTAACCATTTAGCATCAGATGGGCTGTATGCTTGATTGTCACCACAGTGGTTAAAAAATGAGTTACTATAGGTTCTGTCTATTATTTTCTACATATTTCAGAATGCCAATCCAGGCGCCTCAGTGGACGGACTACCTGAACTGTCCTGTGTGCTGCCGCGAGTTCGGTCCACCTCCTCGGAGTCCCATCAGCCTAGGCTGTGGGCACACACTCTGTAAACACTGTCTCAAACATCTACATAGGAAACAATGCCCTTACGACCAGGTATGTTATTATCACATTTATATTTTATATGTTTATATAAATGTGAATTTTCTATAGTAGAACAAAGAACAAAAACTGTGTAGCAGATATGGCAGATCTGCTCTTTTCTCCAAATATAATTATGCATGTTTGACCTTTGACAGTAACTGCGTCACTTGCACTACAAATATACAAAATACTAGCTGTGACCGCGGTTTCAGCCGTGTTAAATAAAAAATATAGGCTTGTGTTATTCTGATCAACAGCTGTAGAGTTTCATCAAAATCCATATACACATACACACTATCGCGTTTATAATGTAATTAAGATATTGTGATCTATGATTGACAAAAATACTGAGGACTAGAGTGTTATTCCTCTAATTCACTGCCATAACTCATGATTCCAACTGTATAGACAGAAATAGTTTCAACAGAAGTTCTCATGCAAACAATTGAACAAGCTTTCATGAATCGTAATTATAAACAATACAGTTATGTAATATCGTATTTTTGAAGCACAATAAGAAATAACAAATATTAATTTATAGAACTTATATATATTCAAATAAATCAAGGTGTGATGTATCACAATACATTATTTCAATTGAGTAAATGAGTAATCTGGTAACTTGTTGAAAAGAAAACTGCTGTTAATGCAGAAATACAGTTGAGCAACTAATGCTCTCAACCTACCTTATAAAATCATCTATTAAAAAGGTATAGGATGCAACTTCATGAACAAATTAAAATTGTATTATACATTGTATATGGATGGGATACTTCAACAGACTGTGATACAAGTAGAGTTGGAGGAGTTGGTAGTGAACACGGCGTTACTGCAACTGGCAGGGTACACTCCACCACCACAACCGTACCACCCGCCGTGCATACAGGCTCTGCAGGAAAGCGACCAGCAAGCGTACGATATGATCGTACGAAGCATGGAGCATCTGGCCATCTACCTCAAATTCTGCGGGAATGGTATGTTGGTATTAATGTCTAAATTTAATAAAACTAAAAATTATGTCTTGATTTCATTCAAGAATTAATTATTCCCTTTAGTTCTCAGTTAGATTATACAAAACGGAGTTTCTTATAAGAGGAGATACAGAGTTAGTTAGTGATACTTGTTATTAACATAAGCATGGAAAGATTATTTTGATAAGAAATCCATGTCAAAGGGCATATGGTATAAAACGATACAATGTTAGCCTCTATTTCCGTCGTTTACATTCACAAAGATAGATAATTATTACTGCGAATACATTGTCTGGACAAACATCATTCAATAATATGCATATTTAATAAAAAAAACCATTCAATAATATGCATATTTAATAAAAAACCATTCAATTATATTAAATATGCAATATGCATATTTAATAAAAAAAAATTACATGCAATGAACATATTATGCAGATTATCTGCAATCTTTTCCAGAGGCTTCACAATTAAGTGAAGCCTCTGGAAAAGATAATCTGCATAATATTTTCATGGAATATGTTCATAATGTATCTGAAAGAGATCCCTGGAATATTGGCAGAGTTATCACATTAATTTAAATTGATTGTTTTTTGTTATATAGTATTGGTACGATGGGATTGTCCTCGTCATATTTTGTGTACAAAAATCCCAAAAAAATTGAAAGAAAAAGTTATTAATATAAGAGTTGATCCTCAGTGAACAACAGTATGGGCAGCCGTTTGTCGCGGCCAATGCAGAGGAAGTTAGTGACGTTATTGCAGTGCGCTATGACAGACGAGGAGGGGCGGGGGAGGGCAGCTCGGGCGGCACGCTCGCTGGGAGAGAGGACAGTCACAGAACTCATACTCCAGCATCAGGTATACGGAAATAAAATTTATTTCATTATCACATAGGTCCAGTAATTCAATAAAAAACAACTCCAATCGAAAAACTGTTGTTTAGATTTTAATCTTGAAATTTAAATATGTCTATATCAGGAATTTCTTTCAAATAAAAACAATAATCAAATTAGATTGACGTAGAAATATTACTTTTTTATAACGGTTTTAATTAATATTTAGGTTTTCTTAGTCCATCTAACTGTTAATACTTGATGGGTATATGAAATGAAGTCTATTATGATTTATAATTAATGACTAAAAAAAGGCTATTTTCATTTACACCTTCGAAACTGAACATTTCCATATTATAGCAAATTTATATCCCCTCACAATATACTTATGTCTGCAGTTTAAGAAATTATGGAGCATGGATGGATATTATTGTAAAAACCTAGCTTTTAAAACTGTTATCCTTGTCCTATAATATATTTCCTTATTTTTTTTAATAAGGATTAATAATGAAATATAATTAATTTGTAGGAAATTTAAGTTGTATAAATAAGTCTGTAAATATAGTTTCATATTAAAAATAAATTATTTAAGCGGACAAAGGATCAGCCCCTTTTTTATACATTCTTTTATATGATAACAGTATACTATCAAACACTTGAATTAAATCGATTATCCTGTTTATTGTTATGGCATTATAATAACGCTTAATAGTTTTCATCAACACTAAATTTGATAATGTAAGTAAATTACGTTTAAAATATAATTATATGTATGATTTACATTAATATGGCAGATGGTTTTATCGGCGAAAAGTAATGACCATAATTAACAATTAATATGATTACCAGTGTTTTTGTTTTCAATGATTTATGTCATCAAAGCTGCGTATTTTTATAAACATTGTGAAACCTTTGTGCCGACAAAAATTTTAATTGTTCTTTAAAATTAAAACTATTATTTCATCAGAATTCACAGCAGCTAAGTGCCAATTTATGGGCAGCTGTTAGAGCTCGTGGCTGCCAATTCCTGGGCCCAGCCATGCAAGAAGAGGTGCTAAAGTTGGTGTTACTTGCCCTTGAAGATGGCTCAGCATTGTCAAGAAAGGTAAGTTAGGTCTGGGCTAACATATACCATGTAATATTTATAAATTCTAATATTACTTCTCGACTCTGAAAGACGTTTCTATCGTCACAAACATTAAAATATTAAACAAAAGGAATGCTCAATTTAATGCTATAACTTGTTCACAGGTATTAGTGATGTTTGTAGTCCAAAGATTAGAGCCTCATTTCCCGCAGGCTTCCAAAACTAGTATAGGCCACGTCGTCCAGCTCCTATACAGGGCTTCTTGTTTTAAGGTCAGTATATTCATTTTCAACACATATGTCATATATTAATTGTTATGCATACTGATACATAATATGATATGTACTCTCCAAAGTATATATTATAATAGTCTTAAATTTTTAGGAGAAATTTGTGCAAAATTTGGTGTTGAAAAATTTACATCTGGCAATACTGCGATAACTTAATTAAAGCACCGATTATTCTAATTATAATATTACTAATGTTACGTATATTTAAAATATAGATTCTAAAATTATGTACTAAAGTCTTATGTTATTATATTATTTAATTTTTACGCAGGTATCTAAGCGCGAATGTGATTCGTCACTAATGCAACTTAAAGAAGAATTTCGTACTTATGAATCGTTAAGGAGGGAACACGACGCCCAAATAGTCCAAATTGCGACCGAAGCTGGCCTCCGGATAGCACCGGACCAGTGGAGCGCCCTTTTATATGGTGACACTACGCATAAGAGTCACATGCAGAGTATTATTGATAAATTACAAACGCCGCAGTCATTTGCGCAGTCGGTTCAAGAATTATTCATAGCCTTGCAAAGGACAGGTGATCCGGCACATTTGAGTGTGATGAGCATACACCTTGACAGGCTGGCCAGCATTGATGCTACACCAGGTTATTTTTTCCATTATGATTATGATATAACTATCTGTGCCCGCGGTTTCGCACGTGACAAATTTATAGCCTATGTTTTATTCTGATGTATATTAGTGTAACTGATGTAAAGTTTCAACAAAATCAGTTCTTTCAATTTTAATGACATTAACAATTTGTATGAGAAATTATTAATTTAAATAAATAGTTGCATAGAACGTGATGGTCTCTGTAATTAATAAAAACTGTATTATAATACACATTCAACTACTTAATTATATTATATTTTTTAAGTGTAATAATAAATGTATAGGAATATGTTAATTGCCTTTATAAATGTGATTAAATTAATATAATATAATTTCTACCACATAATAGGTACATATCTAACTTGGTAACTTAACAAATAGTTTTTATCAATATACAGATGCAAAGGGTCCAACATGGAAACAGTTGGCGGACGTGATGATATCACTCAAGGAGGTAGTTTCCAGATTGATTCATTACCTGCAGCAACAGGCCACTGGTCGGGATGCTAACCACAATGCAAAGTACGTGCTACAAGAACGCTGCCCCGAGCCATCCACAAGTAAGTAGACAATGTCATACCATTGTTATATTGTCTACTAGTGGAATTAGTTGCACCCCATAAACTACTACAAAAAGCCGTTTAACACCACTACTTTAATGGCGCTGTGTTAATTGTCCAGGGAAATTTATTATTATTATTTAACATATTTATATGTAAGAATTCAAATAGCTGTTTATAGTTTTGTATATTTTGCAATACTTAAAAATTATACTAAATAAATTAGAAATAAATTATTACACACATTACCCTGCGTAACTATTAGCAAAAAATATTAGATTACGAGTTCAGTGAGAGATGTGGTCGCTGATGTGAACGAAAGATCAATATGATTATTTGTGTCTAGTAACTTCAGCAGAATAATTCTGGTTTCAATCATGTCGGAAGCATCTGGAAGATTGCCTTAATTTTAAATGGTCTAATGTCCATTAGGTCAGCCGTCCCCACAGACTTCGGCGTCGACACCAACCCACACAAAGTACAAGGTGTCCATGTGCCGGGATGCGGCCACTCGTTCATTCTGCCCTCGTGGAACTACCTGCACTTTTGCGCACTCAGAGGAAGAACTCGAGAGGTATATACTGACTGTCTATCTTTAATAGCAGCACCCACTAATGTCTTTATTTATGTTGTTTGTCTGTAAATGTTCTTTAACCTACAAACTAAATTGAATTGTTGTATATAGCAAAATTTTGTATAGCGGTATGTGAAACATGTTGCAAAGCTACTATTCTTGTATGTAAACTTTATGACAGTTGTTGAAACGTTATTTGAGTGGCGAATTGCAATGTATTTTAGCCGATTGCTGCTAGTATCTTTGCTCCATGATAGAATTCAATCTATTATAGATGTAGTATTTGATGTTATGCTATTTGGTATTAATGTATGTTTTTGTTAAAATATCTATATATTTAAATTATATAATACTAGGTGTGCCCGTGTTTCACTCGCGTGATATTTACTGCCTGTAGGTTATTCTGATATATAAGCTATATTGCAGTAACGTTTCATCAAAATCCGTTCAGTAGTTTTATAAAAGTAAAAAGTAACAAACATCCATCCATACTCACATACTTTGGCGTTTATAATATTGATTATACCTAGTTATCAACAGTTATGTTTTTTGTTTAATATAACAATAGGCTTTGCGATCTTTTCTGCATAATGTAGTAGTATAATTACTGCGCTTTTTTTCTAGTTATATCTATATAGTTTCTCTAAATCTCTGTACTTTTTTAATAAAGCTTTTGCGTGAAATTTATTAGAACGTTTATGAGTTGGTATGATGAAACTACTTTATAATGCATGCGCAAAACATATTTAGTGTGATGCTTATTATCGTTTGCACTGTTTTTTTTTTATTTTGTGATATTGTCCTAATTATTGAAAATAAAAGTGAAAAATTATAAATAATTATTTATACTTTTTCACGTTATTTTCAATAGGATAATATTAGGAATAATTTAATATATCTGAATTAACGATCTCCTTTTTTTTATGTAAGATAAACACATTTACGTTACGACATAATGTACATACAGGTATAGAGCAATGCCAAATACAAATCAGAACGCGACAAACGGCAACTATACGTACATTGCAACTGCGCTGCCATCGTCTATGCCGATGCCGCCGCCGTTGCCGCCACTTCCACTTCCGCAGCCGATGTATCCACGTTTTCCGATACCGCAACATCCGCCACATCCGCCGCATCAGCACATGGAAAATTACAGCCACCCACGTGAGTATCAATCAATCAGACCATCTTCATTTGGACGATTGTTTGTATCGGTCTGGATGTTTTCTAGGTAATTATATTTGCACCGCCAAAGATTATTCTCTGCACCACCTATGGTTGATTGCTAGAAAATGCCGCATGGTGTTAAGTCAGCCAAATGTACTGTAATATATTTTGTATTGTATGCATTGAACTTAAATAAATAAAAATTATATATGTATTTATTAAAAAATATATCTAAGAAGTTATATCAGTTGTCTAGTACCCATGCCACAAATTCTGTTTACCTTGGAACTAGGTGAATGTTATGTGAATTGTCCAGGGGTCAATTATATTCTCAATTCGAAATATATGTACAGTCAAGGAAAAAAGAAGAAAGATTTTTTTTTATAATTCAAACCGTAAGGGGGTAAAACGGTGTAAAATGGCAAATAAAATTAATAGTCACCTACATGTTTAATTCATTCAAGAGATTAATTAAAGGGTGTCTCTGATTACAGCTGCGATGGCATCAATCCCCAATCAGGGACTGCCGCCGGAGATGCTCCCGAACCCCGAGTACCAGCCGGACCCGACTCACACAGTCGATGGCGTACCACCACCGTGAGTGAAATACATCAGCATATATTTTTTAACAACATATCTTCCGGTATGTAAATTAGGGTGTATTTCATTTACTTTCACTTATATTAAGAAATATATGGATATTTAATGGTTTTTAAATAAGATTTAAAGGTTGCTATGTTAAATAGTAATTCAAAATCTTTACAGGTTTTTTATTCTTGTGAAGATATAAAGTTATTGTTTAAAAATGTAAGATGCTTAAATATTGTAATAATAATTTGTTTTTAAGCAAGGATAAAATATTAGAATGTATTATTTTTTACCAGAAAAGTAATGTGCTTTGTTCTTGATTGATTGTAAACATTTATTGTATATTCCTTCAATTATGGATTAATTGGAGCTACACCACAGTCACCAATGTGATTCAAGTTCAATATTTGTATAGAATGAAATATGTTTTCAGACCTATAATCAGCAAATTTATACATCTTTTTATAAAAATAAATAGGATTCCTATGATGATGATATGAAATTTCTATTATATTGGGATTATCATAAGGAGTCTCTATAGATATATTGTTGGCTATTTGGTGCTAAATTCAGCCTAAATTCTTTAAATGTTTATGATATTTAAGACTCTTATTTATCTTCTGTGGTATAAAAATAATTTTGGAATGCTATGGATCTAGGAATGTATTTGTAGGGTATTGAGTGTCTATAGGTAATGTATAAGTAAATGTGTAAGTAGAGTAAAAAGGGTAATATTACAAAAAAACTCAGGAAAACACATACAGGAATAAAACATAGTCCAAAAAAAGTATGTTGCCACAACGAAAGCGACAGATAATTACTTTACTATAATAAAAAAAAATTGCATAGCATATGCATAGGTATACTAACAATAAACCAATTTAACAGTAGGATTATTTACATTGTTCTAGAAATTATGCTGCTTCAATAGTCCACAATCAGTCATCAATGGGTATCAATCAGAACGGCATCATTATACCAGTGCCTAAACGGCCCTACTACGGTCGTTATGGTGGCATCCTAACAATTCACGAAGAACCATCAAACAATCTTCAGTACCCAAGGCCGGAGTTCACCAACCCAGTGTACCAGACCCCCCCTCCTAATATGCCATACCAAGGAGAACAAACCATGGCGCCGCCGATGACAAACATCTTTGTTCCTGTACAGCATGACCAGCCGAGGAACATGAGCCCTTATACATTTGATGATCGTGAGTTGTCATTTTGATGAAGTTCACTTTTAATTTATCTTCTAATTATTATATTATGTTATACAATAAAACAATACCTAGATAAGAGTTTTTAAAAATTTATATGCATGGGTGTCTGTCTTACCTAGATTTATTAGTTGCCAAACAGTTTGCTGTTTAAGCTGCCCTTGTTTTAAAGAGTTTAGATAAATCAGTGAAATTACAGAATATGGAGATCTGGTAATGGTATTGCTTTTTTGTTACTACTTATTATCAGGTGGGCTATCAGCTTGTTTGTCATCCAATAACATAAAAAACAGTCTTTTCCGAATAAAGGTCGAAAAAGAGTACTTTTGTACTCCATAATCGGATTTTAAAGCATTTATTTTATAAATACATTTTATTGTTTTGCTAAGAAGAGTTTTACTGTCATATTGTCTGCTTTGTAAACTGTGTTCCACGGTTTGATCTATGAAATTAGTAAAATTCTATTAGATTATTAAAAACTTATATTCAGTCAATGGAGTTTACCATTTTTTTTTTGTACAAAAAGTTTCTTTTTGTTATTTAGATTGTATATCTTATACAGATTGTGTCATATTAGATTATATATATTTTATTATAATATATTTCATATAGACGGCCTCAGTGGTCTAGCGGTTTAGCACACCGCCTTACTTCTGATGGTCGTGGGTACGATTCCTCGCACTGCACAATCATTTGTAGTCATGCGTATGATTGTGTATACCGGGCTGGGTGTTTACGATGTATAATATGTATGTATTTACGAAGAAAAAACATATCTATGTATTTGTATCAGTTATCTAGTACCCATAACACAAGCTTTAGCTAGCTTAACTTGGGACTAGATAGCGCTGTGTGAATTGTCCTGATATTATTATTATTAACAACCAGATAAAAAATTTCAGTGCCGGCAGAGGACTATCGTATATCGGACTACAGAGTCAAGTCCGCTGGCTTTACCCCAGTACAAATGGAACGCCGTCCTGAGCCGACCTGGGCACCAGGGAATGAAGTAAGATCATTGTCATATTTACCTCTACCTAGCTTACACGGAAGAACATCTCATTCTATGAATTGCGCTAGAGCGCCGGCTACATCAGAGCCTTAAACGCAGTAGGTCTTAAATAGCAAGGCAGGAATTTGATGCATGTAAGGTAATGCGTAAGATGTATGTAAGGCGTAAAATAAATATTAAAAATTAAAAAAAAAGTTACATACGAAAGGTATTTTTTACTATCCTTGTAAAGATTATTTTATATATTTAGTTATCTGAGAGCTAATCGTTCTGAGATTCTTGACGTCTATAATTTGACTTTCTTTTGTTCTTTACAAGGTTAGTACAAATAATCCTTTCATTCGAAAAGTATTTTTTTACTATCATTGTAAAGATAATATTCTGCATCTAGTTATATGTAATCGTTCTAAGATTCTAGATATCTATAATCTGACTTTTTTTTTTACAAAGTTTGTAAAAAAGTCCTATCTCACACTAATGGTACTGTTTTACTAACCTAGTAAAAATAATATTCTGTATGTAGTTATATATCATTGCCTTGAGATTCATGACGTCTATAGTGTGACTTTCTTTTCTTCTTTACAAGGTTAATAAATAAAATCCTTTCATACGAAAGATAATTTTTTACTTATCTTATAGTGATAATGTTCTATAGGTAGTTGTGTACATTGGTCCTGAGATTCTTGACGTCTAAAATCGTTGTTATTTGTTATACTCTACTTATACAATACGTGATATCAACTATGGACCATAAGCTAGATTATGCAGTTTGTTTTCCATTCCAAATCATAATGTACAAACGCAACATACTAACTTACTTGTTGTTGGCAGTTATTCCATTTCGACAACATGAGAAATGCAATGCCCCATTGCTCCAACAACCCTGAAGACGTAAGTATATAATTATATTTAATCTGTAATATATTTTTAGTAGATATTCACACAAGTGATATTAAAAACATCAAATTGAAATTTTAAATGTTGAGATATACATTGTTAGTATATTAAAAATTTAAAAGTGTATATCCAGTTCTAGTATATTTTTACAATTTCAAATAGTCTTGTTAACCACACAAAATAAAATAAATAATAATAATATTGATCAGCAGCCAGCTAAAGTCACCAACTTTAGTAATTTTAAATCAATATTTTTTTTTTATTTACATATATAAGGGTGTTATTAATGTAAGAGTATTTTGAATGTATAATAATGAAAATGAAGACGTCTCTGTTAAGTAGGGTCCTTAATTCAAGGTCCTCAATTCTATACGCGTTGTTTTCCGGACTTTTTAGATATTTAACGTGCCGGGTGACAGGCGTGCGATTGGGGTGGACCGTCTTGCGGTGACCGATAGACTTACAGTTGGGGCTGCCTCCGACTTGTCTAATAGAGCTGACGACGTAAGTATATTGTTATTATTATTGATTTACGTTATTATACTCGGTATATAATATACATATTATCATTTAAAGTTGCTCCTTATGTATACTTTGTTATTGTATGGTCCATATGTATTAAAAAAATCCTTTAAAAATAATGAAATTATTTCTATTGTTTTACTATTATATAAGGCTGAATTCCACGTGTATTTATGTTTATTTATTAGTGATAATAAATACTGGCTTGGACTGTTTGAGCTCTTTTGTACTATGTCTGTAATGATCTTTATAGGCACAGTTTTGTCGCATTCCATCTGAATGCATTGCAATATTCTTCATTACCGTTAATTTCATAATGCGTTATGCATTATAAAATTATTATTTTTATTATAAGTATTGTTTAGTTTACGGGTCCTAAAGCATACGCATAATTTATGCGAAAAATAGTTTGCTTCGTAAATCCAATGGATTGATTTTCACTTGAATAATGTGAGACAATTAATAAATGTTAAAATATAGATTTTCCCCCGCTAAGACTAAATAACCCTGTAGTTTTTTCTAATAACTATTGACATTTCAATATAACTATAATATGTTTTGAAATACAGAAATGGTACATGATATAATCGTCAATTTTCCTGCAGGAATTAGAAGAAGAACTTCAAGCACTGGAGCGGCGCATAGATACAGAATTCAAGAGCGCAGACTAAACAAGCACACTGTGATCCCCATGAGCTCTGAAATGTGAACAAATTGGTGCCACATTCTCAACCTGAAGACATATAGATCTGTACAGGTGACAGTAATGGATGGGAGGTGCTCAGACCTCAAGTAGTCGGATATGTACAATTTTTTGTAAACCATAGACCGACCTTCCATATTTAAATTTTATTTATGTTAAGTTTTACCTCGAGTTTTATACGTTTAATGTTATGTATTTTAATAATTTTATACAGATTTAGTAGTATGATGGTTTAGTTTTAAAAAGCATGAAATTTTATTATTATATATGAATGAAATTAATTTATTTGAAATTCCTTACAATAACATAAATGTTTCTATTGCGGCTTTATTCGTGATTCTTTTATGGATCCCATTGATTTTACAATGATAGTGGGAAAATAGACAAGCAAAGTGGTGTCTAAAAATAGGAAAGTTGCAAAAGAAATATTGAAAAATTATAATAATAATGATTGTTACATGCTGATTGATGTGTTCTGGGGATAAACTTGAGCTTGATGTCACCGTCGCGTACTTATCGCATTATACATTAGAGGTATTAGTGCGCGCAAGTTATTTATTGCTGGAAGTATTATTTTCCTATATTCCTATTCTATTACTTCGTTGTATTATTTTAATATCTAATAAGAGCTTATAAACGATGTAATATTGTATTAACTAAGCTGTTGATGAAATATATTCATAATATTTGGGATTGATTTATGATTATATTGACTTATTCAAATGCTAATCTATTCCAAACAATCTTATTGTGTTATTTCCATCAACAGCCTAGCTAATAGATATATACAAAATGATTTTGTCATTTGTCGACAACAAATCCTAAATTACAACAAACATCCAAAATGTTGGCATTCGGTTAAAAAGATAAATTAGTTTTCTTTGTACAAAATTAATACTTTTGATTTAAAAATCAAGCGTGCGTGTATTAAACTGGTTAATAAGTTAAATGGTTGCCTAATTGAAATGTCTCTTAATTAATTTCATTTTTAATCTTTATTATATTTGACGGCCATGGTCTAACACACCGTTACACTTCCAATGGTCGCGGGTTCGATTTCTGGCATGGTGCCACATTTGAATTCATGAATATTGTTATTGTTTGTATCGGTCTGGGTGTTTTCTATATATATATTATGTATGTATTTGTATAAAAAATATATAAGTATTTATATCAGTTGTCCAGTACCCATAATACGCGCTCTACTTACTGTGGTACTAAATGACGCTATTTTTTGTCCAGGGTTATTTATTATTTATCATTTATCACATTATATACAGACATCACAATATCGAGTAAGTATAGTGAAGTGACTTTACACATTTCATTCCAATTATTATATAATAGGTGTATGATATCGCTAGTTTAATATAGACACGCTTATTTTTCAAATTATTTTATTCGAAATCTATGCATACAGTATTAGTTTCTATCAGAAACGACCCCGAGATATTTATGAGCATAGTTGTAGTTTCCGATTTGAGGCGCATTTGGAAAAAATCATCTGACTTTGTCCACAATCCATGCTTTCTACGTAAGGGAAGAACGAAATATCTATGTAATAAAAAAAATACAATTAGTCGGTTCTTCAAAGAAAAACTGACGTAAGTAAATTTGTACGGCAATCGTAACTGCGGATCACTTTTAAAAAATGTTGTTCATAATAATGAATTATTTTGTAGATGATATGAAGTTTATTGGGACATTACTATATTGTATTTTAATATGCATATAGCATATTAAATTTACAATGAAAGTTTAGAAGTGCATCCGTAGGTACTTTACCATATTCCGTCGGGCTAATAATGGATTATTTTTTTAATTAGCCTTTTTTTATTTGTTTTATCTTCATATTCAGATTTGCTGGCTAAATATTTCTTTATTTCTATTTCATCATTAAGTGCATTAATTTTCGTTTCCTTCAAGGTTATTAGTTTATTTTTTTTAATTCAATATAATTTCAAAGTAATTTGTATCTAATATAAAAATTATACAGAACTAACTACACTCATGACTTATAGAGTCGTACATTAAAAGACTTGACATATATTCTAATTTTACAAAGTGTAGCGGAACATTTTTAACCTCAGGTATAATAGAATATTATCCAGTAAACAATAGAGTATTTAGACTCGGCCTAAATTAGTCAAATAGAGAAATACTAGTACTTTCATTCTAAATAATCTTCTAGATATTAATATAACTTCTCTTTAACGTTAATATTAAATAGCATGTGTGATATAAATACTATGTGCATCTCTTTCGTTTCCGTTGCGGTAGAAAGAGAATGTGCCAGATTGTACCCGTTATTGGGTTTAGTATATTTATGTGGGTATGATATAGTCGACGAAAATAAAATAAAAATGCAGATAGCTCGTTGCAGTATTCATATTATTTTAATACTTTAATTTCTACATAAATTCACATAAAATGTTTATATTAAACGGAATTAATCTGAACGTTTTATATATACGTATATATATATATATATATATATATACATATAAACATTATTATTACTTTATAATTGCATGTTGATTGATAGAATTGCATGTAGTTTTGACACCATTATGTATTAAGCTTGGTCCAACAGAAGATGTATAGACAGAACACTTGCTAATTGTAAACTGGAAGTATTTTTTCTGTAATCATATTATGTAATCATACATAGTTATTGAATTTTTTTGTATTGTTATTGACTGATAATGCTGAAGTTGCCAGACTTCAGTAGTAAACGGGTTAATAAGTACTTAAATTAAAAAAATAAATTACGTAATTTATAATGATCATAGAGTTATTGCAGTATATTTTATTATATTATATAAAATATATTATTTAAGGAATGTTTTTATTAATTTTAAAACGTTCCACGTTAAATAATAGTTGCAGTTTTATTCTGACATACGTGTAGAACATAATTTTAGTTTGATAAGAGCATAGTTAAAGTGTGTGGTTGAGCGAGTGTATTTATACTTTTTGAGTACGGTATTGAGGCTTCACTTAAGTTATATTTAGCGGTCTGTCTATACATCTTCGTTGATCTGAGGTATTAGTAAAACATTATTTTTGTATATTGACGACCTCTGCATGGTGGTCGTCCAGTTGCATATTACATGATGTAATTATGTCTCGGGTTTGATTCTCAGTCGGAGCACTTCAGCGGACGCAATTTCCTAAATCTGGTAGGGGTGATACCGGACTGTGATACGCCCAGATAATTGTTGTCCGGTGTAACGTAACACAGGGTCTCGCAGTATGCTAAATACACAGATGAGTTGGTTGTGTAACAACTATTTATTTGTTTAAGTAAGTTATACTGTATAGATACAGTACCCACTTGACAAAGGCAACAGTTTTACAATATTTTTGTAACTTAGGAATAATTGATTGAGATCACCTTTTGTTTCCATCCAGTATTATGACTAATAGACATATATATATGATAATGTAATAGTTTCTTAAATACTGCATCGAACCACTCCATTATTAAGAAAGTGGAGATGACATACAGAATAGGAACGTTTTACATAATAAATCTAGACATATAATATACCTTCAATAATACATCTAGTGGAGATATTTATTACATATATTATACATTGAAGGTATATAGCCTATACTATTTTAAGAAAATAAAATTAAACGAAGCCTTATTTTTGAAAGTGCCTCTATTAATCCGTTGCTAAATGATTAACTATTTTATATTTAAATCGCAGTAGAATTAGATTGCATTGCGTTTCATAAATTGTGTCACCTCCACTTATAATACTTGATAATTAAAAAACTTCCACACTACCACTCCAAGTATATCATTATTTATAATAATAATATTATATATTAAGTAAATTTTGTATTCAGTTTAGTACAGTCAGTTTAATTTAGTGCGTGGCGTGAATTTTAGTCGTATACATATGTGTATGAAGCTGACTGTACTGACTTCATAGTATGATGATTTATTGTCCTCCTATACCTACAAGCCAACAATTTTCTTCCTTTCATAGAAATGTGGCTGTGACCACAAGTAAGTATCTTAGATCAATGTTTTATGTGTTTTAGAATATTATGTATGTATATATATAACATGAAACAGTGGTCCTGCCGCTGATTGTAGCTATTATAGTCGAGGAGAAACAGAATCGGATGTATTAATTAAGATAGTATATGTTATAAAGCGTACCTATTGAAATCTCGCAACGTTTGTATTGTATGAAATGAAAATGTATCAATGATACTTTAGCTTTGGCAAAGAAAATTAAAATATTAAATTGTTTAGTACATTGTGCATCGGATTCTATTATTAACTTTATTGTATAATCTTTTTTAAATTGACAGTTAATGCATACGTTGGTAGACATCAGTAAGAACGCTTTTAAGAGAAATACAACTTAAATATCGTGACGTCACAGTTTATTGTTAATTTCTATTATTATTGCGCAGTGAGCTATATTCAACTATTCATTATATTTACATTATTGTGGTGATAGACGATAGTATTATAATATCTAATGTCTCTATGTAAAATAATAATAAACATAACTCGAGAAGAACAATGGCGAGCATAATGTAGTAGAGATCAAAGTTAGCTTCTAAATTTGGAGAATTGAAAATGTTGAATTGAGAATTGAGATTGAAGATATCTAGAAAAAAAAAGAAAAGAGCAGAAAACAAAAAGGCGTCCTAAAAACAGGATCATCCATATTTAATAGTCTCAGCATGATCTATTCCCGCAGTACTTCCATTTTTCATACTTCTTATTGCCTATTTATTATTTTTGTTCCACACTAATTATCTGCGATCTCCCATGTGGCGTGTTCTTTACTACGCTCATAATATCGGAGTCATAGATATATTCAGGTATTTCTTCCAAATATACGAGCGTACCTATCTACAAAAACATCACATTAGCTTTAATTAGATACCGAAACCCACTGAATCCTTGGAGTTATTCACTTACCTTGTATTGGTGTTGTCGGCGGTTGTTCTTGCTCT